CCTCTTCCTCTCTCTCTCCTTCCTCCTCCTCTTCCTCTCTCTCCTTCCTCCTCCTCCTTCCTCTCTCTCTCCTTCCTCCTCCTCCTTCCTCTCTCTCTCCTCCTCCTCCTCTTCCTCTCTCTCTCCTTCCTCCTCCTCCTTCCTCTCTCTCTCCTTCCTCCTCCTCCTTCCTCTCTCTCTCCTCTCCTCCTCCTTCCTCTCTCTCTCCTTCCTCCTCTCCTTCCTCTCTCTCTCCTTCCTCCTTCCTCCTTCCTCTCTCTCTCCTTCCTCCTCCTCCTTCCTCTCCTCTCCTTCCTCCTCCTCTTCCTCTCTCTCTCCTTCCTCTTCCTCTCTCTCTCTCTCCTCTTCCTCTTCCTCTCTCTCTCCTTCCTCTTCCTCTTCCTCTCTCTCTCCTTCCTCTTCCTCTCTCTCTCCTTCCTCTTCCTCTCTCTCCCTTCCTCTTCCTCTTCCTCTCTCTCTCCTTCCTCTTCCTCTTCCTCTCTCTCTCCTTCCTCTTCCTCTTCCTCTTCCTCTCTCTCTCCTTCCTCTTCCTCTCTCCTCTCCTTCCTCTTCCTCTTCCTCTCTCTCTCCTTCCTCTTCCTCTTCCTCTCTCTCTCCTTCTCTCCCTCTCTCCTCTTCCTCTTCCTCTCTCTCTCCTCTTCCTCTTCCTCTTCTCTCTCTCTTCCTCTTCCTCTCTCTCTCCTTCCTCTTCCTCTCTCTCTCCTTCCTCGTCCCTCTCTCTCCTTCCTCTCCTCTCCTCTCCTTCCTCTTCCTCTTCCTCTCTCTCTCCTTCCTCTTCTCTTCCTCTCTCTCTCTTCCTCTTCCTCTTCCTCTCCTTCCTCTTCCTCTTCCTCTCTCTCTCCTTCCTCTTCCTCTTCCTCTCTCTCTCCTTCCTCTTCTCTTCCTCTCTCTCTCTTCCTCTTCCTCTCTCTCTCCTTCCTCTCCTCTCTCTCTCTCCTCTCCTCTTCCTCTCTCTCTCCTTCCTCTCCTCTCTCTCTCCTCCTCTCCTCTTCCTCTCTCTCTCTCCTTCCTCTTCCTCTCTCTCTCTCCTTCCTCTCCTCTTCTCTCTCTCTCTCCTTCCTCTTCCTCTTCCTCTCTCTCTCTCCTTCCTCTTCCTCTTCCTCTCTCTCTCTCCTCTCCTCTTCCTCCTCTCCTTCCTCTTCCTCTTCCTCTCTCTCTCCTTCCTCTTCCTCTTCCTCTCTCTCTCCTTCCTCTTCCTCTTCCTCTTCTCTCCTTCCTCTTCCTCTCTCTCTCTCCTTCCTCTTCCTCTTCCTCTCTCTCTCCTTCCTCTTCCTCTTCTCTCCTCTTCCTTCTTCCTCTTCCTCTTCTCTCCTTCCTCTTCCTCTTCCTCTCTCTCTCCTTCCTCTTCCTCTTCCTCTCTCTCTCCTTCCTCTTCCTCTTCCTCTCTCTCTCCTTCTCTTCCTCTTCCTCTCTCTCCTCCTCTTCCTCTTCCTCTCTCTCCTCCTCCTTCTCCCTCTTCCTCTCTCTCTCCTTCCTCTTCCTCTTCCTCTCTCTCTCTCTCTCTCTCTCTCCTCTCCTCCTTCTCTTCTCTTCCTCTCTCTCTCCTCTCCTCCTTCCTCTTCCTCTCTCTCTCTCTCCTTCCTCTTCCCTCTCCTCTCTCTCTCTCTCTTCCTCTTCCTCTTCCTCTCTCTCTCTCTCCTTCTCTCTTCCTCTTCCTCTCTCTCCTCCTCTCTCCTTCCTCTTCCTCTTCCTCTCTCTCTCTCCTTCCTCTTCCTCTTCCTCTCTCTCTCCTCCTTCCTCTTCCTCTTCCTCTCTCTCTCTTCCTTCCTCTTCCTTCTCTCTCTCTCCTTCCTCTCTCTCTCTCCTCTTCCTTTCCTCTTCCTCTCTCTCTCCTTCCTTTTCCTCTTCCTCTCTCTCTCCTTCCTCTTCCTCTTCCTCTCTCTCTCCTTCCTCTTCCTCTTCCTCTCTCTCTCCTTCCTCTCCTCTTCCTCTCTCTCTCCTTCCTCTTCCTCTTCCTCTCTCTCTCCTTCCTCTTCCTCTTCCTCTCTCTCCTTCCTCTTCCTCTCTCTCTCCTTCCTCTTCCTCTTCCTCTCTCTCTCCTTCCTCTTCCTCTTCCTCTCTCTCTCCTTCTCTTCCTCTTCCTCTCTCTCTCCTTCCTCTTCCTCTTCCTCTCTCTCTCCTTCCTCTTCCTCTTCTCTCTCTCCTTCCTCTTCCTCTTCCTCTCTCTCTCCTTCCCTTCCTCTTCCTCTCTCTCTCCTTCCTCTTCCTCTTCCTCTCTCTCTCCTTCCTCTTCCTCTCCTCTCTCTCTCCTTCCTCTTCCTCTTCCTCTCTCTCTCCTTCCTCTTCCTCTTCTCTCTCTCTCCTTCCTCTTCCTCTTCCTCTCTCTCTCCTTCCTCTTCCTCTTCCTGTATGTACTTGGAGGGGGTTGCTCTCCTTTCCATACGATGCGGATTCGGTTTAATGGTTGGCCATCCTTGTACACTCGAATGGCCTTGTGGACTCCATCGAGTGCATATGCATTATCAAGGTCAAGGTCCTTGTTATAATGTGTGACGAGGTATTCGTCATATTTTTCCGATTTCTTCTTTTCATCGCATGATTTGAAGGTAATACCTCCAATAAGTCCCCCGGTAAGGTTTTCTATATAGCTCTGCTGGGAGCGGGCGACATAGATATATGGCGAGGAGAGCGTGTCCCCTCACAAGGTCAATGGGTTTACCCCAGGTTCGAAGAGGGGTTGCCAAGGTCCTGTAGCCATTTCATCTTTTCTTTTTTCGTGGTGCCTTCAGGGAAGGCGAGACGGACGTAGTCTTTCCTCGGTGCGAGTGGCGTCTTGCTGGCGTTATGGGCTCTCTTTTCTTTCTCTTTTTCTGGCCCACTAACGTGAAGCCGTCACCTCCTTGGTCAGCAGCGGCGTCACCCACCTGGGCATCACCGTCATTTTGTGCCTCTTGCATGGCGATGGGTTCAGCGGTCCTGTCCACTGAATTACAGGCTGAAGCGCACTCTTCAGCCGGGGGAGGGGTGGGACAGCTATCCCGCGAGTCTTCCCCCTCAGTGTTTACTTTGCGGTTTTCCCCCATCGTGGGGGTGGTGACCGCGGCGCCTGGCGCGCCTGGCTCGCCCGCCTCGTGACAGGTGAATTATGGCGCTCGGGACAACGGGGCACTCAGCTCCAACGGTCACTAACACAGTACTTGGCACTCGGCGGAGGAATGAATTCAATTGAATTTAAAACATAGCCATGTTCACATCACTACTCTCATGACGTTTCAATTGCGAGGTATATGCGCACCTAAAGATTCATGAACAATTTCCTCGTACATGACACCAGAGATCCATGTGTAAGGGGCGAGGGCACCGGAGCAGGGCACCACACGACCTCTTCGTGTGAGGTCACGGAGTGTACTGTCCGTAGATTTTACCGAAAGATGGATTGAGATCCCATAGAATTCTTTGAAAGTTGGGGCGTCGGTGACGGACACGTTCGTAGAGATTCATAGACCGATTTTGAATGTTTTATGCTTTCCTTTATTTTTATGATTAATATACAGGAAGGATGTGCTAAGTTTGGGCAAATTGAATATGGTAATTCTTTGAGACAAATGGGTATAGTTTCTGTAGTAAAGTATTATTTTCTAATATATGTGTACTGTAGCTATATTGTTATTTCGAATGGTGCACCTGTCAGACCCCCTACTCCAGCCAGCAATATTGGAGAATCCCATGGGAAATGGGGGTTGGGGGGTTGGAGGGAGTCTTCCTAGCCTGGGGACTTTGCCCCTGGGACCTCCAGATTGCAGTATTTCCCTGCCGAGGGCTTTGCTCTCGGACCACCTACTGACATTTGTATTTCCCTACCGACCTCTATATTTCTCTACCGGGGCTTCTCCCCCAATCCCCGTAGTCTTATTACAATTAATTTTTAACAGTATACCCTTCTAGTTGCTTTTTTTTTTTTTTTTTTTTTTTTTTTTTTTTTTTTATACCTTAAACGGATTCAGGATAAAGTTTAGCTGCTGCCAGAAGGAACTAGTGGGATTACTTGTTTTGCTCCGAGAAAGGCATCATGAATAATCAATAAATTCTGCTCTTATTTCAACTCTGACTTAGGCAAATGTCAATCTTTCAAAGAATTTCCACTATATTGTCTTAAAAGGATCATGGCCAAGATTACATTCGACACAAACATACCGGTGACTGTTCGAAGAATAATTAAGGACTCAAAAACCCCAGTTATGAAGACGTGCAGGCGCAAAAAGTTATATAAAGAATCCATAATCATTTATAACAAGCTTTAATTATATATATATATTATATAATTATATATATATATATTATATATATATATGTATAATACATAAGAGCAAGATGTTCAAATATAGGATAGTAAATGGGAACAAGTAGGAAAAATAAAATTCTCAAGCAACACGTCACAGTAATGAGTTATGCGGTCATTTTACTATTCGAGACGGCGGAGTAAACATGTAGAGCGACAGAAAAAATTACATGCAAGAAGTGTAAATGCTTCTTGTAACACTTTGTGAGATTACTCATTTTTTAACTTTCATGTTGTCGGTTGGAGCATAAAGAAGGGGAATATATACTTTCCTTAATGATTTAGTGTGCATTGATATCTCTAGTCTAACTTTGAATATATTCTTGTAGAAAGACCAAAAAAGGCGTTGGTACAAGAAATAATAAAGGCCTCTCGTGCCCCTGAGTCTCATTCAGTTCAATCTTGTCGTGCATATAGGGTGTTGAGGGACAGAGCCCACTATCAACCCTCCCCTCAGGCAGGACATGCCCAGTCACAGCAACTTAGATTGGTAATTCTTTACAGTGTGTACACACTCGCCAGAGATTATGTTCTCACTTCACAAAATTTATTCAACAATCTAAAAATTGCCCTGTCTGGGCATGCCGGAGGGAAGAGTTGATGGAGGGACTCTTGATTTATTAGTCCCAAAAGCAGGGGTGGATATGAAGTATATCAAGGAAATTATGGGGTAAAACAGGCTTAAATAAGAATCTAGAACAAAGATGTGAAAAGCCAATGCAGACCAATGAAACTCTACAGACATGCCCTTCATCTTGAAAGTCTATGGACCGATGGGATAAGATTTTAAAAACTCTACAGGAATATAACCCACCTTTTGGCAAAAAGCTACGGGAATTCAAATCTTCCAATCCTCCCAAAAAAGCATGACCGATAACCCAACCTAATATTAATAACCAAAGTTGCCGTGACTAGGTATATCCTCTGGGAACTGCCCGAGGGGAAGGTTGAAGGCTTAGCCCCCGAACCACTCCCGGGACATGTTCTCTTCACCTTGGTATGTACGGCAAGAGAGAGCTTCATGCTATAAGCATTAAACTAAATAGCTTTATATCTTAAAACCCCAAACTTTCCTTGGTTTCTCTTTACTCTCTGGACTGTTCGTTTCTAAACACTTTTTTTTTCGGTATTTGGGACATTTTATGGACTCGGAATCAAACTATGATGGTCATTAAGGTTTATTTTTTCGTTGGCACTATGTGGTTTTGAGAATGACCAGAATTGATGCTACACCGAAAACGAAACATTTCTGCCGGCCTTCTGTTCCGGAATGGCCAATGATCCTCGTAAAAAAACTGGTTCCTGATAATGCACTTATGCCATTAAAAAGTGTGGAACAGCAAACACTAATGATTTATAAAATATTTGGGCAAAAGCATAGTAACACATGAGAGCTACTTGGCATATCGCTGTAATGAGTACTGTGGTCAGTGCAGTGTTTACCCTCGACATGTAAACAAGATGACGATTTAGCTAAAAGTTGGCACTCACCTCTGTTCTTTTACATATAGCACCTTAAGGAAGCATTTGCACAAATATTGCCAAAACTGAAAATTCTTTTTTTTTATTCAATTTCATATAGGTTTTATTGCCCAGTTCCATCACTACCACCCTGCAAGGGGTGCTGGTGTTTGCAGTGGGGATGCTTCCACAGCACATACCAGCTCCTGGAAGTTTTTGTTCCTTTCCAGCCCCAGTTACAGAAGTGACCTCTTCTCTGGTTTCCTTAATCTCCTCTGGTATTTGGGACGTGTGTGCGTGGTGACCTTTGTCTCTGGAGAAGGGAGTCCTGGGGACTGAGTGATGCTGCACGCTGCACCCTGTGGCTAGCAATATATTCCTTTGGTCCCCGATTCCGCCTAGACGGGAAACATGGTCTCGACACGATCAGGTCAATCAGCTAGTTAGCGACATTTTCATTTGAAAAATGTACTGGCTAGGGTTAATTAACGTATGGAAACATAGTGTGTATGAGGTGTGAGGAAGTGTAAAGAACGTAGATATAGCGGGTAAATGCATGTATGTGTATATGACTAAATGTGCTGTGCGAGAGTGTAAAAGACTGTTAAGCATGTATTTAAGCTGGAGAGACGTGTGCGTAGGACTTCTCAAGACACAGATGGTAAGCTATCTAGCTTTGCATATAGCTTCTTGACCTAATGTTCATTTCCCCGCTACAGTCCTTTAAAATTCATCTTTCACAGCACTTCGGTAGGGTGAGTATAGAGACGATTTAAAACCAAACATTTATTAAAAGAACTGAATGAGAAAACATACAAGTAAACCACAGAAGAAACTAGTAAAACAGACAAGACACGTAAAATGATGAAGTAAAACACGTAAAACTGACATAAAACATGAACTTCAAAAAATTTAAATTAAAAGAAGCACCGATCTTAGTTTCCCCTATACTTAATTAAAAAGGGCCATGAATCTTCTCCCAATACCTCAGTAATAAAACATACAGAGCAGAGGGCAGGTTCCGGGGTTCTCTGACAACCTCTCTCGACCAGCGTGACCACAATACCTCTCTTCCCTCATTAACTTTACAGTGGAAATGTTTATGATAAGTGAGGGTGTTTCTCTTTTAATAATAAAATTATCAAATGCTTGGAAAAAGTGTATATTGAAAGCTAAAAATAAAGATAAAATAACAAAAATAAATGAGATGCATAAAATGTTCTATAGTTCACCCTTTATATATTCTCTTTGTGAAGTAAATGTTCGTGTCTTATGAAGGATGGACAAAAAAAAAAAAAAAAAAAAAAAACTAATAATAGATATGTTTAATACCATAAAACACTTGAAAAGGAATGGAGGCGGCCACGTATTCTATCCTTGCCTTGGTGAGCGTTTTTTGGAGTATTCTCAGGGCGAGTGTAGAGCATCCTCACACCACGGAGATAAAAATGCCTCCCCCTGTAGGACTCCGTGGTGGGTGGGGTGTGTGGACATGAACTTGAAATAAATCTCAGAATAAATGTTTTAAATTACCTCAACCTGTTTCTCTCCCTGATGTCCACTCGCTTCTGGCCGCCGCCTCTCGACCATCGCTCATTGTAACTTGGGAACCCTATAAGACTCTCAGTGACATTAAGGAATTTTCTGCCTCTTCCAATACGCCACCCTCATCTGGTGGAACTCGTCATAAGAACCGTAAGCTGGGGACAAAAATGCTTGGTCCAACAGTAGAGATACTATGAGGGAGGTTTAAATCAGCTATGATAAATATATAACCCTAAAATCTGTAAATGACCTCCCCATCACAAATCTTGACAAATTTGAAGTCCATCGATGCTTTGTAAAGGCCTGCGGACGTAAATCTAAAATAACGCCTACTGGTACTCCCTCATTCTAATTATTATATTGTACAATTATAATGTACTTATTTCTTTTTATTTGTTACCAAAGTATATCAACTAATGCATAATATGCATTATGCAATAATCCTCCATTGATTTGAGAATTAGCACATGCCCTAATACCCTGCAGTGGCATTAAAATGATTCTGAACTCCGTTTTCCCTACAATGAATTAATACATCATAACATTTATCGAAGTGTGTGTACAGACGTAAGATAAGCCTAATCATCTGTAGTACCATAGTCGTTTACTATAGATTATGATACCAAGGAACATGGAAGTGTAAATTTATACTTTTTTCTCCACAATAATTTTAGTCAGGTTCTCAAAGGAATGATTTAAGGACTATTAGAAAGCTCAGGTTAAAAGTAGTTTACGTCTAGTGGGCTAAGCATCTTTTGCCTAGAGAACAAAGGATGCTTAGACGGAGTATAGCTCTAACATCTTTCATCATTAGCACCTTTTGTTTTTCAGGCATGTTTAGTTGCAGGGATTGTGGAGGCAACATCCCTTATTGCTTCGACATAGACAAGAAGACGGGGAAGCAGTTGTGTTGTCCACTCGGGAAAAAACGAAAATGGAGGTAATCCAGGATTTTTTTTTTCTGTGAACAGAGAAAAATTATTCTTATAATGAATATATCTATTATGGATAATGAGATTGATATATTATTTTGCCATATATGACAGAAAATTTTAATGTTTCAGTGTGTGTGGAATACCTTCCGAAGAATTCCCTCAGGCATATGAAAGGCGTTGAGAGTATCGAGCAGTTTAACGAAACGAAAGCCTATGTCGTCTCGCCACCACAAGACAGGTGCTTTGGTACTCTTTGAAGAGTTCATTCTAGAGAAAATCGTCCGATTCCTCTATAGGCAAGGACTAAGTAGGGAATAAAACTGAGCATACCAAAAGGATGTTTTGTATGAATAATTGGATCTTTTCCAGCCGTCCACACATCCCTCGAAATATTCTTGAGATTTTGTTTACCAAAGTTTTAAAAACACGTGCCCAAAAGGGTGAAAGAAATAACTTTTTCCACTCACATTTGAATCAAAGTCAAAGCTTCTTGAACATACTGAAGCCCACTGTCCTGGAGCCATTCTTTCATTTTTTTCTCGCAATTGCAGTGATGAGTCGTGTTGCTGTTTGGAGGAGAAGGAACGGATGTTGCTGAAAACCGTGGTGGCAGAAGGGGGTAAGTTTCGGCGGCGTCCAGGACCAAAGTGTTCTCTTGAGATAATCATGCTTAATGTATTTGCGGTTTTATTCACTTTTGAATTTGTATGTATTTATCTTCAGGGAGGGCACTTTTGTAATGCCACTGTTGATTGAGGACAATGTCTGACAAAATTTTAACAATTCCATATTTATGCATGGCCTAAATATTTAAATTATTGAATACACAGAAGCAAATACGAATCAACTTCATTTCTTTGTAACCTGAAAATATATTTAAATTATTGTTGTCTATTGTTAATGAAAGATCGTGCTGGCTTAGATTATAGCTGTTGTTTCCACTTTTATTTTGGGGATTTCCTATCTCCGTAATGTAACATAGTATATTTGACAATCTAAGAGTGATAAAATGCTTTTAAATGTATTCTGAACTGCACTTCCCCACAACACATGGTATCAGGAGAAACCTATGAAGTGCGCAGAGTGACCCAAATATGGTGCAACCCGTGGAGACAGTGATTTGCCGCCTCACACCTTGCATAACACCATCTCATCGCCAAGACAAGGGTATCAGATGCTCACAGGTAGATATCGTACTGTGTTTCTCCATATACATGATTTAACGCTGCTAGCCCAGTGACAGCTGATGGCATTTGACTGATATATTTGAGCTGGTTATTTTTATGGAGCATCTTGTGGCTCAAATATTTTAAACAAAACTTTGTGGTTGAAGAAACAGCAAATTTCATTTTTGAAAAATAATAGTACGTCGGGATTAGTTGCCAATTTTTTCTTTCATTTTATTATTCATTGTTTATAAGTATTGCTTTTTTTTTTTTTTTTTTAGAAATGGAAGAGCTGGGAGGTGTACGTAAAGGACCGGCTAATGAAGATCGGTTACGCGTTGTGAGTTTCAAGGTGCCAAGCGGGTGTCTCTGTGCCTCCAACGCAGAGGGCGTTCAAGACCGGAAGCTGCAGGACCCATCTGCCTTTGACCTCGATCACTGGCTCCAGACTGAAGTGCGTAGGTTGTTTTTGAACGCTGATGACATGTACGACACTCATCCAACGGTGACGGGCACAAGAACGCTGAGGTACCCTGTGAAAAGGCAGACGCACAACACGCAAGGGAGTGAGGCAATGTCGACCGTAAGGATTCTGGCGCTCATCCTATCCAAGGTGGAACCATCCGCCAGACTTCCCATTTTCCAGGAGGTGAAGGGGATCATGAGCGAAAAGGTAAACTACATGCGAGAAGCAAGAAAGATCATCGAGGCGATCTTTGGCGGGGGCGGTCCGGCCGATGGCGCCTCTGCTGACTCTGTGGTTTCCTCTGCTGGTTCTACCGCGAAGCCAAACCCAGGCCCGCAGCCACAGGAGACCGAAGACACCCTCAAAGTGAAGGTAATCCAATTCTTATTAAGACGTGTGATGCCGAGGTGATGTGTAACGCAACGGTGGTCGTCAAACTGGACGAGCACAAGACGCCCTCCTTCCTCCGCCGGAATTTGCCAGGGAATTGCAGCGGAAATGGCACCGCCCTGCTCTCGCCCGTGGCCTGCGTGCTCGTCTCCACCGCCCTCCGTTGCGGCGACACGGACGTCCTGGAGGCCATCAGCGACGCGGACGCCTCGCGCGCATGATCGTGGGCGGCCGAGACGGTCAGCGAAGGCATTGCGAAGGTACCGGCGGGCGGCGGAGAGACGAGGAGGTGGAGGAGCAGTAGGCGTGGGAGGAGTGCATGAAGTTTGAGCACTAATTGTAGTATTTGGAGTGTGATTATTATTAGTAGTATATGGAGTATGAGTAATAGTAGTAGTCTGTCGAGTATGGGTAGTAGTAGTAGTAGTAGTAGTGCGTGGAGGATGAGAATTACTAGTAATAATAGTATGTGGAGTATTATTATTATTAGTTGTATGTGGAGTAGTAGTAGTAGCAGTAGTATGTGGAGTAGTAGTAGTAGTAGATGTGGAGTATGAGTAGTAGTAGTAGTAGTAGTATGTGGAGTAGTAGTAGTAGTAGTAGTATGTGGAGTAGTAGTAGTAGTAGTAGTATGTGGAGTAGTAGTAGTAGTAGTAGATGTGGAGTATGAGTAATAGTAGTAGTCGTAGTAGCAGTAGTATGTGTAGTAGTAGTAGTAGTATGTGGAGTATTAGTAGTAGTAGTAGTCGTAGTAGTAGTAGTAGTAGTATAGAGTATGTGAGTATGTAGAGTAGTAGTCGTAGTAGTAGTAGTAGTAGTAGTAGTAGTGGAGTATGGTAGTAGTATGTAGTGTAGTAGTAGTAGTAGTATGTGGAGTATGAGTAGTAGTCGTAGTAGTAGTAGTATGTGGAGTATGAGTAGTAGTCGTAGTAGTAGTAGTATGTGGATTATGAGTAGTAGTAGTAGTAGTAGTATGTGGAGTATGAGTAGTATAGTAGTCGTAGTAGTAGTAGTATGTGGAGTATGAGTAGTAGTCGTAGTAGTAGTAGTATGTGGAGTATGAGTACTAGTCGTAGTAGTAGTAGTAGTATGTGGAGTATTAGTAGTAGTTAGTAGTAGTAGTCGTAGTAGTAGTAGTAGTATGTGGAGTCCTTCTCATTGGCGAGATGCTCTTATCCTACCTTTCTTAAAACCCAATAAATCAGGTACCCTACCCCAAACTACTAGAACGAATGGTCATCTTCCGTTTAATGTGGTACCTAGAATCTCATAATCTCCTTTCCCCTTCCCAGTTTGGTTTCCGACGTGCCCGAAGTACAGCAGACCCACTTGCCCATTTCGAGACATACATTACATCGGCATTTGCACGCCATGAATCCGTATTAGCCATATTCTTTGATCTAGAAAAAGCATATGATGCCACATGGCGATACCATATCCTCCAACAATTGTCCTTAGGTTTACGTGGAAACATGGGCGTTTTCATTAAATCCTTCCTTTCTAAACGTACTTTCCAGGTCAAAATTGCCTCTTCCACGTCATCATCCTTTCCTCAATTCGAAGGCGTCCCACAAGGAAGTGTGCTTAGTACCACTTTATTCCTTCTTGCTGTAAATGACATAGTCTCAGTCCTACCACCAGGAGCCAGAGCATCACTATATGTTGATGACTTAACCATCTATGCATCTGGCACATCCATACCAGATCTCTGTCAATTCCTTCAGTCTGCAATAACATCAGTAACTTCTTGGGCCACCAACCATGGCTTTCGCTTCTCTACCTCTAAATCTTTCCCCATCCTTTTCTCTCGCTCACGTACGGTCCCCAAACCCCCACTCTTCTTATATAATGCTCCACTCCAATACCGTTCTTCTGGCAAATTCCTAGGCGTTATATTTGATTCCAAATTGTCCTGGCGAGACCATATCTTGTACATCAAAGAAAAAGCTCAACGTCGCCTCCGAATCTTACAAACTCTTTCACATATCTCCTGGGGCAAAACTCTCCTCCATCTTCATGTTACCTTTGATTCTCTCCACTCTAGATTATGGATGCCATATCTACTCCTCTGCCTCAACCTCTCTTCTTGCTCACCTTGATACAATCCACCACAGCGGTCTCCGCTTAGCCCTAGGCGCCTTCCGCTCCTCTCCAGTTGAGAGCCTATATACTGAATCAGGCATGCCGTCCCTCTCTCGACGTCGAGCCCTTCTCTCTCTCCGATGCTATGCTCGATTTCACCATTTTCCCTTACCAAACTATTCAACAATCCTTACTTTATACCTTTACCTCTTCTGCACGTTACCAGCTCCTCTCCCCATACACATTGGATACCCTCCTCTCCCATTCCTCCTTTCCTCACCTCCGACCTCTCCCCTTTCTGTCCATTCCATTCCTCCATGGCTTATACCTAACCCCTGTATTTGCTCCTCAGTTTTCCCTGCCCCACCAAAATCAGATATTCCCCCCTCTATCCTTCTCACTCATTTCCTTGACCATGTTCCATTCATTCCTCAGCATTCTGTTTACACTGACGTTCCAAATCCATCTCAGGAGCTGGATTCGCAGTAACATTCCCAAACTGCACTTTCAAATACACCCTCCCTCCTGAATCTAGTGTCCTTACTACAGAACTGTATGCGTTCCTTTTTGCCTTAAGACGCATATACTCATCCCCTCTTCCTCTTTTATATTTTTACTGACTCCTGTAACTCGTTACCCTCATAAAGTCTATACACTCGACCAATCCCTTGGATCTCTATCTATCCACAAATCACAAATCTGTCAGATTTTGCGGGTACCCAGCCATATTGAAATCCCTGCAATGAACAGGCAGATACTCTTGCACGCTATGCAGCAATGTCCACATCACCTCAACCCGCTTGTCACACATTCCAGCTACGGATATTACCCCCACTTTAAAACCTTTTATACCCGATGGCAGTCTTTTGGTCAAGACTACACAACAATAAATTACATACTGTAAAACCATCAATCTCCTCTTGGTCAGCTCCATTTCACAAAAACAGACGTTGGGAGACGGCCCTCGCATACTTATGTATTGGCCACACTCGCCTAACACACGCATATCTATGTCATGCTCAGACCCGCCCCTATTCCTCTATGTAACGTCCCTCTTTCAGTTCCACACATTCACTTGTCCTGTCCACGCTTTAATACAGCATGTACCTCTGCTTTTCCATACATATCCTACCTTCACCGAGCTCCCAACATATCAGACATCCTTACAGAATCCCACAACTTCTGCCTTGACAACCTGTTTCTCCTCAGATGCATAAATATCCTTCACTTGATCTAACTCCCTTACCTAAACCACCATAACCTTTTCCCCCATCTTCAACCTTTCAACACTACTATAGATAGGTGACACAGCAACTATCACCTGACATCCCCCTTTACTATACCTTCCTATAGTGCTATATGACCTTAGATGTCTAGCACATTATTTTAACCATTAACCATTAGACTAACTCTGCATTACAGATATTCTGTCTGCTTTGGAACTGTTTAGGTTGAATGATAACTATACTCCTATTTCTTTTTCATAAAGTATATTTGCATAATTATTAGAACAAGTTGAAATGAATTTATTGATGTCATTTTCAAACCTTTGCCTCTTTTTGTATTTAGACAGCATAATATTATTACATGTGGTAAAATATGATCTCTGAATAAGAGGCAATAATAATTCTTGCTTCTGTGGCCATAAGAAATTGCCCCCAGTGAATGTTGTACAAGTCGAATATTCTTTTCACATTTTGTCAATGCTAAATTTTCATCTAAGCACGCTTGTAGATCCCTTCTCAACTTCTGAGTCTCCAGAACATTACTAATTACAAAATCTTGGTTACAGGTTCTGGATGATAACAATGGCAAAATTAGTGCCGTGTTCCAATTAGCGAGGGACAACACTACCTCTCAAATAGTGATTGATGAGAGCAAAGTTGCAGAAATTCAGGGTTTCTTTGATAGAGTTCTTAAAGCCACTGGTAATAGTGCCAGCACGACTATTTCTGAAACTACAGTGTGGATAACACCAACCGGAAATGACAATCCATCAACATTTGGAATGTCTCAACAAACTGTGACTTTGCCAATTGTGACGTCAGATCCAGTAAATGTAACACCAAGTAATTCACAAGGATCAGAGGAGCCCATGGTGAACCAGTGATACCTCCTGGAGACCAACTTCCTCCATCAGAGTATATGAGCTTCAATGACACCGGTGCTGTCCTGAGCAGTTTTTTAAACGGGACAGCTGAGGGAGGAAAGCCTGTTACACCAACCGGCAATGACAATCCATCAACATTTGGAATGTCTCAACAAACTGTGACTTTGCCAACTGTGGCATTAGATCCAGTAAATGTAACACCAAGTAATTCACAAGGATCAGAGGAGCCCATGGTGAACCCAGTGATACCTCCTGGAGACCAACTTCCTCCATCAGAGTATGCAAGCTTCAATGACACTGGTGCTGTCCTGAGCAGCTTTTTAAACATGACGGCTGAGGGAGGAAAGCCTGTTACATTAACGACCTCAGCCCCAATTCAGACTGTGATGGAGAGCGGGACCACGAGTATATCCGAGGTCCAGACTGAAGAGACTCCTACGACTACTGTAACTTCGGATTTTCCTTCGACAGTAACTGTTGAGATATCAGAAGCACCTACAACATTTACTGACTCTTCTGCTACTGATGGGACGATGGAATCATCTTTTTTCAGTCACAACTGGTAAGACTACTACGTCGTTTACTGATGAGACAACATATTCTTCATTGACAGTGACAAAGGTAACTGAATATTCCGCATCAATGACTGAGGAAGAAACTACTGCCTCAGTTAGTGCAGAAACATATGCTCCTTTGTCATCAACTGATGTTTCGAATTTTCAGACTGAGACGACGACTGAAACGGTAACTGAAGATTCAACAGAGGAAACAGAGTTGACAACTACCTCAATGACTGAAGGAACAGAAAGTAATAGCTTTCTAACTACACTCTCTATGACCATGGGAATAACTACAGAAGAAACAGACAAGAAACGACCACAAGGAAGAATCTACAGCGTCCGTTACCAATGAGTCGGTGACCGAAGCAACAGTTACTGGGAATCGACTACCAAAGAAATATCTATGGAAGAAGCGGCAACAACAGGAGCAGCAGTCTATGAGGAATCGACACCCAGACAGACGGCAACAGAGGGAACAGTTACAGAGGGCTCAACTTCTGAGGAGATGGTAACAGAAGAGACAATCACAGAGGGATCGACGCTCAAACAGACTACAGCAGAAGGAACAGTCATTACTGCGGAATCGACGCCCAGAGTGACGGCAACTGAAGCAGCAGTGACGAAGGTATCGACATCCGTCACTGAGATAGAATTCACTACACCTTTACCTGACAATGCAGTAGTAGTCAGTCCAGTAATTCCTTTAGAAGAGGATTTACCCGAGCAAGAATATCAGCCCGTGGACATTCCAGTCGAATTTATACTTAACTTTCTCAGTAATTCGCGTGTTGTATTGTAGTTCATTGTGCTTCAGCTGGTGTATGATTGCGTGTGCGATTGTGTATTTGTATGCAGGGTGAACATGGATATTTTTGGTGTCATTTCGTGAATATTTTAGATTATTGATTTTTATAGTTTGTATCCGTTCAGCTAGTTACCAGACTTGAGAAAGAACCCTTTGTAATATTCATATATCTCGCTACATGGAATAACATGAAATATTCAAACAAGAAATACAAATTGTGATCAATAAATGCTCCCTTCATGGAAGCCCAGTTCCCTTTTTTTAAATGATCGAAATAATTTTGCGATACTCTGGTGTTGATAATACTTCGCCTGACTGTCAAGAGGAGCTGTGCGATTGTATACATGCTGGGGAAAAGATTTAAGTTGTATATAATGATAGCAAGTTGGTGCAGAAAGTATTAATGGCATTATTTGTTGAAAATGTTTTTTATCACAGTTTTAAGTTTTTGTTATTAAAACTTTTATAAATACAATGTGTTTTATTCAGCATATTCTGAGATGGGTAAAATTTTAAAATTAGGCCTATTTCACATTACAAAAATGTTTCAAAGCATAGTTGTTAAAGTGGTTACTACAGTATCAGAATCTGTAGAATGCAGACATTGACACTGGGTCGCTTTCACTGATGGAAATATACCAGCTTTTACCATAAGATCTAGGTTAGAATGCCAGCCGTTTATATGGAGGATAATTACATTTAAAAGACCATAGCCCCAATATCCATCCCAACACTCATCCTCCTCCTACTCATACCCCTACACCACTTCCTCCAACTCCCTCCAACATAATCCAACCCCCTCAACTCCAACTACACGTACATTCTCTCCCCCTCCATCCCCTCTATCATTTCCACTCCCTCCTGAATACACACTTGAAACTCTTGTGTAATTCCCTTACCTAGACCCACCATAGCCCATTCACACAACTACTCTATCTTTAACCGTTTTAAGACTACTCTAGCCAGTTGACGCATAGCAACTATCACTCTTCACCCCTCCTTTAATATACTTTCCTATAGTTCTATTTGACCTTAGATGTCTAGCACATTTATTTTGCTTTTTAATCATTAACCATTCATTGTCTACCCACTCTCCCTTATTACTGCTGCTCATCCTTATTGTCCAACTTCACTCCACACCACCCCATCATCTTCCTCCTCCCGTCCTTCTACTACTTCCACCTCTGCATACCTTTTGAGTACTCTTTGGCTCGGCCAAGTGGGATCGATTCTTTGTGGTTTTCCCCACAGCCCCTTACTCTGGCAATATCCTTCTCTTCCAGTGTCTCAAAAAACAAGTAGGCAAATTTTCCTTTCGCAGTCGTTCCGATCCTTCACACCTTGTCAGAGTTTTATCTGAATCACAAGGTCGTGTACTATCTACCCTGACTAACTTTCAAACCTATTCGTGCAAAACCTTGCTTCTCTCTTAATGGTTGTACTGAAACTGTTTGTCTCCCCGACTGATTGTCCTAAGACAAGAACTAGGCAGACTGTGAAAATTACTTACTTGCTTACCTTGTTGACTATGATGCAGTGGCAGTACAGTCCTACACTATCCCTCCCAAAGGACAATATAAATTTATCAATATTGCCAAGATTAGTTTCCATGGACATGACCTCCCAATGAAGTTTTTATTGGTGGAGTGTCCTACCATGTCTGACCATTTCGACAGTTTATCGTCGCAATGTCAGAAATTTAAGCGTTTTGGTAACCCAGCCAAACACTTGCTCCACAGACCACTGCCCCTGCATGTGCCCAACCTGGTCAAAATCGTTCAAATTGCTCTACTCAGTCACATACATGTGCCAAGTATAGTGGCTCCCATAGTGTATTATACAAGAGCTCGAATGCGAGTTAGCAATTCTCAGATTCAAACTAGCCTCACTCAATATGGTGCCACCGACAAGGTTTTCCCTCTCTACCTAATCCAATACTGTCCTTCGCTTCTGCTCCTTTCGCCCATTTTTTATTTTTTTATTATTATTTTTTTTTATTTTAGATGTAACAGTATCTCTTTCGCTATCTCGACCGTCCTACCTTTCTCCCCCTCTCCCCAGTCAAATTAATTTTTCCAATCGAAATCCAGATACTCTAATCTCTCCACTTCCCCAATGCCTACTCTTCCTTTTCACTTTACCTGCTGCACCAGGCAACCTAAATGTTCCACTCTACTTTCCTACACCCTCTTCTTCCTCTGCTCCTCGGATATCTATTCCTCTTTTCCTCTTACAAGGACACCTTTGTTTTCAGTCCCCTTCACCCACATACCTCTAGAAACTTTTGAAACATTCAAACTTCCTAAAGATGACCTGAGGGAACACTGCTCCCTCATCCATCCTCCATCTTCTGTTCTTACTCCCTTTATCGTTGCCGATCCTCCATCCTCCTCTTCAAGTTTCCCTACCCCGCCTCCCCCCCCCCCTTCCTCCTATACTTTCAAACACACTCCATTCCTCCTTCTCTATGTGCTTCATTCCCTCTTCGTTCTCCATTATCCCTACGCTCCTACCTGAATGCTCGCGTAAATCCTTCACAATAGTGCCCTTCACTAGACCCTCCCCCTCCTGATACTCTTACTACACCACCTTCCCCAGTCCTCTATTCTCATCCCCAGATTAATCTTCTCCTACTTCTCCTGACAGCCATTTATTTTTTCCTTGAACAATGTCCTTATTCCTTCCCTAGTCACAGGTACACTCCATTACATTAAATTGCAGTTAAACTTTTTTTTTCTTTTTTTTTGTACTAACCTCTACTTTATCTTTTCATTCGTTCCCCTGTTTACCCTGTCTAATCTTTGAGATCTAACATATTTGTCCTAGTCTTTAACTTCTTTTTTTCTTTTTCCACCACAATACTTTACCATATTGCTATATGACCTTTGGTGTCTGTTTGATAGTTATTTGATACAAATAGACCATTAACCAATTGCTCATGGGGGGTGGGGGGGGGGATTGCTTGAGGTGACGGAGACTGAGACCCCATGTAAGGGATCGCCCTTATCTTGGGACCTTAGTCTCGTTTCATCTATTTCCCTTTCTTTTTTCATCCCCCTTTATATCCACGCCATAAAGTGTTGAGAGCCTTTCTGAAAGGATGAAAGACTGGCTTGCGTCAGTCCATCTGCTCCTCCCTCTTTACCCTCTTCACTTCACTTCACTAGCCTACTGCGCTCTACAACCTTTGCATCAAACATATTTTGTCCTAATTGTTAGCAATTTTTTAACCTTTTCGCCACACTGGCCTTTCCTTACCTCGGGGCTTTGCCCCCAAGCCTCACCTATTGCCAAATTTTGTTTACGCCGCAAATAACCTTAAATAAATGAATCGTGACAAAAATGATCACATGAGTGGCGATTTATACATAAACTCGTCTAAATTATTAACCAGCGTTTATTTATTTTTATTATATCACAAAGGTAATTGATATTTTAAGAGTTCCAACTATACATATATTTAAAATAAAACATAATGAAATGACTCATTACCGTCCGCCACATTAAACTGATATAACCGTAAGAGGGCCATTTTTCTAGTCCAAACACAAACGCTGTTATAAGGAAAATCTGAAATCGATATCTCACAGATGTACAAATGCATTTTCAATATTTTGCAGCATCGAATTATCGCCAAGACCTTATACACTGTATATCGATATCAGTATCTTGTCCTTTGGAATGTATATAGACGTCACTATTCCTGAGGATCCAGCACGGAATACACCAGTCACATTTCCATTTTCTTAAAACGCACAATGAAGTCATACCTGTTCCAGATATTATACGAATACAAGACAGCACAGTATATAAGTAAAAATGGATACCATCTTTGTTCATTAGATATAGAATTTCCTCAAGGGGCATAATAGAACAATAACATGCACAAGAACATATATTATAACATGAATCTTCAATAAATTATTGTCGCACATAATGGCCTGTCCAACCAAGCGGGCATGATCGGCGGACACACGGAAGGGCACGAATAGAGATGACGTCACGAGCGGACAAACGACTCGGTAAACAAGTAGTTTCCACGTTCTTGAATCGCCTGTGACGTCATATTAAAAGTCGCCCGCCGATGTCCCCGCCAATCATGCCCGCTTTTGTTCATGGAGGAAGAATGTAGAGTTTTTGCTTGGAAAAGCTACATAATATAATGCATACGACAAATAGACCCAAAAGTATATAATGAGAG